GGCCTGCCCACGTCTACGGCCTCGCTGTGTTGTCATTAGGCGGCCGCTAGAGGACACGATCAAGATGGCGGCGGTATCTGGGCTGGTGCGGAGACCCTTCCAGCAGGTAGGGAGCAGCATAGCGACCCTGTGCGACCCCTGCCCACCCTACGGCCCCTCTGAGCGTCCTCTCTCTTCTCGCCAGGTCTCCGGGCTGCTGAAGAGGCGCTTTCACCGGACCGCGCCGGCGGCGTTGCAGGTAACTGGCGCGGGGGCTACTCGGGGCGAGGAGGGAGAGTCCTTGTCCCGAGCGGAGACCGGGGTCGCGCCTGCGCCGTGGCCAATCTGCGCCGGGCCGGGGTCCTGCCTGGGACTCGAGCTGCTTCTGTCGCCGCCAGGCGCTAATCATTAACACCGGCTTGTCACCCCAGCGAGGCTGATTGGGATTAGATGGGCAGTCGGAGAAAATTAAACCTCTTTCTCTTACGGTGTTGTGGTAAACTGTGCATAGCTTAAATGTACTATTTTAAAGTGTACAATTTAGTGGCATTAAGTAGGTACATTCGCCACCACTCCCAGAACCTTTTCATCCTCCCCCAAAGAAACTTTGTATCATTACATTTAAGTGGAATCATTCGTCCTTTTTTGTCTGGGTTATTTCGCTCAGCATAATGTCTCCAGGTTCATCCATGTTCCAGAATGCATTAGAATGAAATTCCCTGGTAAGGCTGAGTAATATTCCATTTTATGTATGGACCACATTTTTTTTTTTGAGAGGTTTTCACTATAGGGCGCGTGCGCTCGCCATACAGACAGAGACATAGAGACAGAAAGTGAGAAATCACCCCTCAGGGGGGATGGTCATGTCGCAATCCCTTCTCCTCCATTCTCCTCTCAGGATTTTGGGCACACACACACACGCGCCCGTCGTGAGTTTTAAGCCACCAGGTCCAGGATACGAACCGCGATTGACTATGTAGGAGTCCAGTGACATAGCCATTACGCCAACTGCTGGTTCCCTGGACTACATTTTTTAATCGATTCTTGAAGAATGGATATTTGGGTGGTTTCCACTTTTTGGCCAGTGTGGATAATGCTGCTGTGAACATTGGTATGCAATAATATGTTTGAGTCTCTGCTTTTGATTCTTTTGGGTATATAGCTAGAAATGGAACAGCTGGATCACATGGTAACTCCCCTTCCCTCCCCTTTTTTTATTAGAGGCTTCTCCTATTCTCTTAGAATAACTCCTATATCTTGACTATAGAGCGTTGGGAAGTGCCTGGCATGGGCTGAATGGTCAGCACTTAGTATTAGTTAGGCCTACTTGGTAATTTTCTATTCTACATTTTAAAAATTTTTTTGGAGAAGCTTTTCCCATAGGGTCTGTGCACTCGCCAGAAAGACAGAGAGAGACAGAAAGTGAAAAATCACCCTCCCAGGGGAGATGGGCACCCCACAATCCCTTCTTCTCCGTTCTCCTCTTGGGATCTTGGGCACGCATGCACATGTGCCTGGTGTGAGTTTAACCCACCGGATCCGGGACTCGAACCATGGTTGACTGCATGGGAGTCATTATACCATAATGGTTATATCACTGGACTCCCACATAGTCACCCACATTTCGAGGCCTGGACCTGGCGGCTTAAAACTCATGCCAGTGTGCATGCGTGCACATGCCCAAAATCCCAAGAGGAGAATGGAGGAGAATGGCTTGTGTCATGGCCATCTGCCCTAGGGGGTGATTTTTTGCTTTCTGTCTGTCTGTTTCTCTGGCGAGCACACGTGTCCTATAGCAAAAATCTCTCTTAAAAAAAAATAGATTGTGTGCACTTTAAGAAAAGTATTCAACAGCAGGTAGTAGAGAGATTAAGGTGGCTGGATCCGCATGGCCAGCTGTGTGATTCGAGTCCCAGACCTGAAGGCTCGAAAAGTATGCTAGGTGCATGTGCATGCGTGCCCAAAATACCAAGAGGAAAATGTAGGAGAAGGGATTGCTGCATGACCATCCCCTCTGGGAGGTAATCACCCCCATCCCTTGAAGGCTTATGCCCTATGGCAAAAATCTTTAAATTAAAAAAAGGTGTTCAGTAACCTTATCATTAACACACCCATCAAAGACCAACTATGTAGGACAGAACTATTACTCTTAGAATTCTGTTTAAAGACTGTTACTGTTCTATTGTGGTCAGTGTTTTTAATTACCTATGCTTTGGGCAGCCCAGGTAAGAAGAAAGGAAGAGAATCCCAATACTATCCTAAATAATCCTGTACCCTGTTGACCGTTTCCCATACCTGTGACAGGTGACGGTTCGCGATGCTATAAATCAGGGCATGGATGAGGAGCTGGAAAGAGATGAGAGGGTATTTCTGCTTGGGGAAGAAGTCGCCCAGTATGATGGGGCATACAAGGTAACCAAAATGTGTGACAGTTCTGCCAACTGAAGTGGCTGTTTGTCCCCAGATACATTTAAAAGTAATGGGGTTCACTCTTGATTGTAGGTTAGTCGAGGCCTCTGGAAGAAGTACGGAGACAAGAGGATCATAGACACTCCCATCTCCGAGGTGAGCCTCCCGGCGGGAAGGACACCTCTGCGGGGCATGTCTGCTGTGCTCACGGTCCTGGTTTTCGTGGATTTTCACTCACGTTTGTGTTTAACTTTACAGATGGGCTTCGCTGGAATTGCCGTAGGGGCAGCTATGGTACGTGCCATTCTTCCGGAAGCTCATCCAGACGGATTTCTTTTCATGTGGCCTTTTCAGAATTCTGTTTGAATGTTGGAGCAAGGGAATGGTTGTTTCTGCCTTCCATTGCTGTGTCTGGCCTTTTTAACACCCATGTTTTTGACTTGACAGGCTGGGTTGCGGCCCATTTGTGAATTTATGACCTTCAATTTCTCCATGCAAGCCATTGACCAGGTTATAAATTCAGCGGCCAAGACCTGTTACATGTCGGGGGGCCTTCAGTGTGTTCCCATCGTCTTCAGGGGTCCCAACGGCGCCTCGGCCGGTGTAGCCGCCCAGCACTCCCAGTGCTTTGCTGCGTGGTACGGGCACTGTCCAGGCTTAAAGGTGGTCAGCCCCTGGAATTCAGAGGATGCAAAAGGACTTATAAAATCAGCCATTCGGGATAATAATCCAGGTCAGCAGAGTGGCCTTACGGTCTCTTTTGAACATTAAAAACTAATGTGAAGGGGGCCTGCAGGTGGTGTGGTTAAGGCACTGGACCCCCACGTGGCTCATGCAGTTCAAGTCCCAGACCTGGCCTGCTTGCTTTCTCACTTTCCCTTTCTTACTCGCTCTCTCTGGTCAAATTTTAAAAATAATAGTAGTAATAAAATTAAGTGAGTCTAAAAAAAAAAAATAAACTAGTGTAGAATCTTTGTATGGGAGGACCCATTAAAAACTTCTAATTAAGCTTAGATCTCATATACATTTTTTTTTCTTTTAATATTTGCAAGACAATGTGCATGCTCACCAGAGATACAGGAATAGGGAGAGAGCACACCCCCTGCCATGAGGAATGGTCACGCTGCAGTCCCTTCTCCATTTCTCCATCCTGCTAGGATTCGGGGCACACACGCACATGCACATGTATCCAGTGTGTTTCTCAAGCTGTCAGGTGCAGGACTTAAACTGCATGGTTTACCAGGTGGATTCAGGCTGCAGAGCCAGCCTCATATAAAACATAAGTGGCTTACAGACACAGTGAAGAGAGTAAAGAACAGGGCAGTTTTCTTAGCTCTGACTGGAACGGGGTCAGTTCGGTCAAGGGGACGTTTACTGCATACCTACAATGCTGGCTGAACCTCGGTGACGTGATGCTGCCCGCTGTGCAGAGGAGGTCCCTAAACCGTCCTCGGCCACCAACATCATAGCAACCAGGTGTCCCCACCTGCACAGTGAACTCCGCAGACGCACAGTCTCCTTCGGGCACGTTTTCAGTCGTTGCGCAGGTACTGAGTGACCTGTTTCATTTTGCAGTGGTGGTGCTGGAGAACGAGCTGATGTATGGAGTGCCTTTTGAATTTCCCACAGAAGCTCAGTCAAAAGATTTTCTGATTCCAATTGGAAAAGCCAAAATAGAAAGGCAAGGTAAGAGAACTTAGTTTACATTTAAACATGATCGTTTGTCCAGGGCCCCCCCGCTCCTTTCGTCTTGGTATGTTTATCTAGAAGTTAGTGCCATGTACATTGACTGTCAAGTTCGAGGATGAGCCCAACTGAAGACTGGGGGTGCCCAACGGTGCAGCTGTGCTGTTCGAATCTCAGTTCAGTAGCCTTGTGCTTTATTTCCGGGGAGGCTGTCACTTCCTCAGTTACTAGAATGACACAGCATTGCAGATTTATAGAAGAACAAGAGCCGCAGCTGGCTGCAGAATGCTCCAGCGTTTTCGTGCCAGCCTGACCTCTGATCTGTGACCACTCTGTTTCAGGGACACACATAACTGTGGTTTCCCATTCAAGACCTGTGGGCCACTGCTTAGAGGCTGCTACGGTGCTGTCTAAAGAGGGAGTTGAATGTGAGGTGAGTGGACATTGGCTTGTTTTTTTTATTTTTTCTTTAACAATTACTTATTTAATTTTATTTATCACTGTTACTATTTTTTAATTTGCTACAGGGCACGTGCACTCACCAGAGAGACAGAGACAGAAAGAGAATGTAAGAAAGTGAGCCGCCAGGTCTGGGCCGGAAGCCGTGATCAGCCATGTGGGAGTCTAGCATCCTTAACCACCACGCCACCTACTGGCCCCTTCCTTGTTCTTAAAGAATCGGAAAGGCTCCTTTTAAAGACCCAGAGGGCCAGCCTGTGGCCTAGTAGCTAGGGTAGCTGGATCCCCTGTGGCCAACTGCAGTTCTCTCCAGCCCTGATGGCTTGACAAACACCCTGGGCATGTATGCAGGGGTGCCCAAAATCCTGAAAGGAGGGAGAAATGGAAGAGAAGATATGGTGGCATGATCACGTCCAGTGGAGGAGTGCTTTCTCCCCTTCCTCTTTTTGTCTCTCCCTGGCAAGTACACATGCCTTCCTACAATTTAAACAAACAAACAGATTTAAGACCCCAACATAGGAATTTGAGTTCCATATCAGGTTTCTTAGATGTAAAATCTTGCTTCTGCTTAAAGCCGAGAACCTACTTGTCTTGGCTTTTTACCACTGGTCTGGGTCTTTTAAAATAGTACCTGCCTTTTTGGGTTAGGATACAGGCTCACAGCTGGAGTTGGAGGACGCTCGGAAGTCAGAGATTATAACCCCCTCCTATCCAGGACCCACCTCGGTAGTTGTTCTCAGGCAGGCTTGGTCCATAAATCTGTTTCATCAGCTCTAGAAGGGGGATAATGTAAATATCATCCCATCCTAGGGTGGTTGACAGTTACACTTAGCATAGTGCCTGGTACACTGGAAGCACTCAGATGTTAGCTGTTATTATTATTATTTTAATTGCCAGAGTGTACATGTGCTTGCCAAAAAGAGACAGAGAGGGAGAAAGTATCCTCCCTAAACAGGAATGGTCACACCACAATCCCTTCTTCTTTTCTCCGTCCTACTAGAACCTGGGGCATGCGTGTGTGTGTGTGTGTGTGTGTGTATATGTGTGTGTATGTATATATATTCATGTATGTATATATATTCAGCATATTTTAAGTTGTCGTGGCCAGGATTTGAACCATGGCCGGCCATGTGGGATCCAGCTCCTTTAATCACTCGATCACAGGGCCAGCCCCTGTTAACTGTTATTTATTTATTTTTCTTTAAAAAAAGAATATTTAATTTTTTTTTTCACACGAGTTTTGCTAGAGAAAAAAAGATAATGAGAAAGCAAGCTGCCAGGTCCAGGACTTGAACCGCGGTCAGCCATGTGGGAACTCCAGCACCTTAACCACCATGCCACCTGCTGGCCCCAACTGTTACTTATTTTGATGAGAAGGAAGTTAATGAAAGGAAGATAAACAAGTCATGTAAGTGCTGCTTGTAGCAGAGATACAGATTTTTGGTTTTTCTACATTTTGTACATTCCTGTGTGTATTCATAGGCAGATTAGATTTTCCTAGACCCAAAGAAACAAGTGGCATTAAGGCAGTAACGCTGTATTTGCGGTACAGTAGCTCTAGCAAGCTTTTCGTTACCTGTTTAGGTGATAAACTTGCGCACCATCAGACCAATGGACATCGAGACCATCGAAGCCAGTGTCATGAAGACAAATCACCTTGTGACTGTGGAAGGAGGCTGGCCCCAGTTTGGAGTAGGAGCTGAAATCTGTGCCAGGATCATGGAAGGTATTTTAAAGATTTGAAAGTAGTTCTCTGGGCCGGCCCCAGGGCCTCATGGTTAAGGGAGCTGGATCCTACATGGCTGACTATAGTTCAAATCCTGGTCCCAGCTGCTTGAAAAACATAGCAGGTGCCTGTGTGTGCGTACCCCGGATCCCAGAAGGATGGGGAGGTAGAGGAGGACTGCAGCGTCACTACGCTCCACGGTGGGGTGCTTTCTCCCTCTCCTGCTCTGTCCCTGGCCAGCACACACACCCTCTGTCAATTAGGGGGAAGTCGGGAGAAGTGGTTCTAGAACGCAGTCGAGTGAAAATAAACACTGTGTACCTGTACACACTGGGTAAGAAAACCCAAAGATAGGGCTGGCCGCTGACTTGAACTTTCACCTTGTCAGTTAGGCATTTCTCTTTGGGGTACGTGTTTTAAAAAGCAAAACCAGAAACACCTCCCTGAAACTAGCACGCCTCCCCGAAACTAGCACACCCTTACCTACTTTGCTCTCCCAGGCAGCCACACCTCTGTGCCAGGTGGTGCCCGCTGGCTTCTCCTGCACCCCTCAGAGAGCCCCTCTTTTCTCCCAGGTCCTGCATTTAATTTCCTGGACGCGCCTGCCGTTCGAGTCACTGGTGCCGACGTCCCCATGCCTTATGCAAAGATTCTAGAAGACAACTCTGTACCTCAGGTCAAAGACATCATATTTGCGATAAAGAAAACATTAAATATCTAGTGAGACTTGAATAGCAAGTCATGGAAGGTTATTTAAATATGTGCTGGCACTTCATCTGGATTGTACTTCAAGACCTTTCTACTCATAAAGTAAAATGATCTCTAAAGCAACACAGGTGTTTTTGTACTGGGAAGAGGTTTCAACGTGTCGTGAGTGGGAACTCCACTCCTGCCCTAGACTCCATGCTTTCTTCTGTCTGTTACAGTTGCTATGTTCTTTGAATAAGATTAATGTAAAATTGTACCCTCCCGAGAAGGTACGAGGGTGGCAGAATCCTGAGCGATATATCCCAAAAAAGATAAATTATATGTATAAAATAAAAGCATATTATCTGTTAGACTGTTTTGATAAAGGGAATAAAAGAATTCCTAACTATGGCTAATTCTATCTCTTTGATTCTTGAAATAGTAAATGTGAGTGGAAATCTTGAAATTCTGTTAAAAAAAAAATTGAGTGCCAGTGAGACCAGCAGATGGCGTAATGATTACGTTGCGGGACTCCCACATAGTGGGCGGCAGAGCTAGTCCCAGACCCAGCAGCTTAAAACCTACGTGGGGCACGTGCATGTGCATGCTCAAAATCCCGAGAGGAGAATGGACGAGAAGGGATTGCGGAGTGGCCATTCCCCCTTGGGGTGATTTCTTGCTGTCATTCTGTCTCTCCAGTGAGCAAATGTGCCCTATAAGAAAACTCTCTCTTTAATTAAATAAAAAAATAAAAACTAGTGCCAACAGGTTGACACAGTGGTCAAACATGACACTTCAAGGCTGACCCACACGGGGCTTTTCAAGTTCACATCAAGATCATACATGCCTATGACGCAGGGCTTGCTGAGGTTGAGGGTGGCTTGTGGTGTCAGGACTCTGTTAGGGAAGCTTTCTGGACTCATGGGAAAAAGAAATATACTTAAAGTGCCAGGGCCAACTGCTAAGGTCCCCGGTCCATATAGGCTCCCAGTACATCCAGATGTGCACATTTGCTAGGATCCAGGCCGGCAGAAGCAGATGAAGATCCTCTTGGGAATACCTGTTTTGTCTCTCAAATGGAAGAAAACAACTTTTAAAAAAGAAATGAAGGGGGCTAACAGGTGCTATGGTGGTTGGGGTGCTGGACTCCCACATGGCTGTGGTTGGAGTTCCAGACCTGGCCGTTTGCTTTCTCACTTTCCTTCTTTCTCTCTCTCTGGTAAGCTCACGTGCCCTATAGCAAATTAAATAATCAATTTTGTTTTAAAAATGATTTTTTATTTTTTACTATTAATTTTGACCAGAGAAGAGAAAGTGAGAAAGCAAGCTACTAGATCTGGGACTCAAACCATGGTCAACCATGTGGGAGTCCAGTGTTTTAACTACCACACCACCTATTGGCCCCTAAATAATTCTTTAAAAAAAAAAATTACAGGCCATCAAGTTACATAAATAAGGCACTGGACTCCCACATGGCTGGCCACAGTTCGAGTCCTTGACAAGGTAGCTTGAAATTCACACTGGGTACGGATGTGTGCCCAAAATCCCAGGAGGAAAGTGGAGGAGAAGGGATTGCTTTCCCTCTCACTGTCTCTTACTCTTTCTCATCACTCTAGTGAATGCACATGCCCTATGACAAAAAACTGGGGGAATAAAAGAAATTAGGGGCCAGCAGGTGGCGTGGTAGTTAAGGTACTGGATCCCACATGGCTGACGGCATAGTTCAAGTCCTGGACCTGGTGGCTGAAAAACACACTGGGTGCATGTGTGTGTGTGTGTGCCCAAAATCTCGAGAGGATAATGGAGGCGAAGGGATTGCTGCATTGCCATCCCCAGGTGGTGGTTTCTTACTTTCCCTCTTCGTCTCTCCAGCGAGTGCACATACCCTACAGCAAACCAGGGGAAAAAAAAATTAGTGCCAAATGGTAAATAAGCTGATACTATACATACCTGTTGCCAGAATTTTTTTCAAGTCTCTGAAACTATCCAACATAACAAAACTGACATTCTAAATCCTTAGGCCCCACACCTTCCATCAGGAGCTAATCCCTTAGACTGCATCACACTTGGGACAAACGAAAACTTGTCCACAGATCCTTCAAATGCCTCAATCTGACAGGGTCCCCTTTACAAAGAAAACTAAAAGTATGGCAGGTATTTTTCCCATGGCCCACAGCCAGACACTGTCATACACTCCCCTCTTCAGAAGTTGAGATGGGAAAGACAAGTTTAAATTAGTTACAGAAGCATCTGTTAATATATTTATCATTAACTCCTATTAAATGGCAAAGTATGACACAGGGTAGTAAGAAGGAAACACAAGATACACAATGTAGGGGCCAGTGGGTAGTGTAGTAGTTAAGACGCTGGACTCCCACATGGCCAATCACAGTTTGAGTCCCAGACCCAGCAGCTTGAAATTCACGTTAGGCACATGTGCACATGCGTGCCCAAAATCCCAAGAGGAGAATGGAGGAGAAGGGATTGTGTGGTCATCCCTTCTGGAGGGTGATTTCTCTCTGTCTTGCTGGTGAGCACATGTACCCTATAGCAAAAGTCTCCCCCAAATGTTAAGCTATTACGTTTTCAAAAGGTGCTATAGAGGGACGGGGCTGAGGGGAAGGGAGGTGGTTAGTGGGTTTTAGTGCCTTTTCTGGCCGTGGTAGAGTCAAAGCACTTTAAAGGACCAGACCCAGGGAGAGGAAATTCAACTGGGGCAGGAGCAAAGAGATTGGATCAATTGTCTTTCTTTTCTTTTTTGGTCTTCAACTAATGGTTGAAGTATTGGAGCCATGAGAATAAAGGTTCAGTGTCCTTGATATTTTTTTGACATCGCTATTAACAATCAACCTGCTGGAAGAGTTGTCTTTGAATTATTTTCTGATGTGTGCCCAAAACATGTGAGAATTTCCATTGTCTTTGGACAGGGAAGTCAACTCAAAAGCCATTACATGGTAAGAATTGTCTCTTTCACAGAATTGTCATGGATTATATGGCTCAAGGTACTGACTTCAGTGAAGGCAATGGACGAGAAAGGGAATCTATTTATGGAGAACTTTTTGAAGATGAGAGTTTTGCAGTTGCGCACAACAAAGAATTTCTCTTGTCAATGGCCAACAGAGGAAAGGAGACAAATGGTTCACAGTTCTTGATAACAACAAAGCCAACTCCACAATTGGATGGCATCATGTTGATTCTGGGCAAGTAATCTCTGGCCAAGAAGTTGTAAGGGAGATAGAAAGTCAGAAAACAGATGCAGCTAGCAAACCATTTGCTGAGGTACAGATACTCAGTTGTGTTGAACTAATCCCCAAATCTAAAGTTAAGAAAGAAGAGAAGACAAGACATCGAATCATCATCATCTTCTCATCATCCAGTGATTCAGATAGTTCAAGCGATTCTCAGTCATCTCCTGATTCTTCTGATTCTGATGGTGCTTCTGAAGAGAAATGAAAGAAAAAAGAAAGAAAAAAGAAACAGGAAAAATTCTCAAAAACACAAGAAAGACAAGAAGCAGAAGAAAAGCAAGATAAGTGCATCTAGGGAAAGTAAAGCTGAAAATCTTGAAGCGCAACCCCAGTCTACTGTCCATCCAGGAGAGATCCCTCCCATACCTGAAGATAGATTCCTAATGAGAAAAAGTCCTCCTGAAACTGATGAAAAGGAAAGAAAAAACAGAGAGAGAGAGAGAGAGAGTGTAATTCACCAAATCCCAATCTGCTTTGTATCAGAGACAACTTGTGGTTATAGGTCTGGCAGGAAAATGAAAGGAAGAGGACCAAGGCACTTGCGAATACCTTCTAGATCAAGATCAAGGGGTCATTTCAGATATAGTGAGACTCCTCCACATTGGAGGCAAGAGATGTAGAGAGCGCAAAGAGTATCAAGTGGTGAGAAATGGATCAAAGGTGATAAGAGCGAATTGAATGAAATAAAAGAAAATGTAAAAAGCCTAGTATGAGTAAAAGAGAGAAAAATAACATTATAGACATGTATCTAAGAGTCCAAACAGAAAGAGTGAAAAAAGAAAGTTAAACACCATAAATCTAACAGCAAGGAGACAGACATCAAAAGACATTTGGAGAGGGGACCAGCAGTTAGCGTAATGGCTATGTTGCTGGACTCCCACGTAGTTGACCGCGGTTCGCGTCCTGGACCCGGTGGCTTAAAACTCACGCTGGGCGTGTGTGCGTGCGTGCCCAAGATCCCAAGAGGAGAATGGAGGAGAAGGGATTGCAGCATGGCCATCCCCCTGGGGGGTGATTTCTCGCTTTCTGTCTCTCTGTCTCTCTCTCTGGTGAGCGCAGGCACCCTATAGCAAAAACCTCTCCAAAAAAAAAAAAAAAAAAAGACATTTGGAGAAAGATGACAAATATAAAAACAAAGTGAAGAAAAGGGCCACATCCTAAACCTCAACTCCTAGACCCCCGGAACACTCAGACCAGAAGCCATTTTAAATCTGAGGTGTGTCCTGGCGCGTCCAGGGACCCAGGCGACTGAAGTTACACTCTAAGCTTATCTCCTAGACCCCTGAAACACTCAGACGAGTGGAGAGATTTTGCCACAAAATGACCAGAAATAATCGCAGAGGCACAAAAAACATGAGAAACCAAGAGAATATCTCTCCCCTAAGTGAAAAGAACGATCCATCATCCACAGATAGTACAATGGAACTCTTGAAAATGTCTGATAGAGAATTCAGAATATTCGTAGTGACAAAACTCAATGAGATCCAAGAGCTGAGAGACAATGAACTCCAGAAGATGCAGGAGAAAAGAGACAACGAGTTCCAGGTGAGGAAGATCTTGCACGATCTGAAAGAGGAAATACACCATAAGAAAGAATCAGATGGAGCTGTTAGAGATGAAGGCTGCAATACAGGAAATCAAAACCTCCCTCAAAAGTATTTAAAGCAGACTAGTCCATGCAGAAAATCAAATCTCAGATATCGAAGGCAAAACTTCTGACCTAGAAAAAACAACCAAAAACACTGAGAAAATAACCAGAAAAAAAGTAGAACATTATATGAGAAATACTAGATACCATTAAGTGCCGAAACATCTGGATAATCAGTATCCCAGAAGGTGAAGAAACTAAGCGCATTGATAATTTATTTTATGAAATCCTGGAAGAAAATTTTCCAAATCTAAAGAGGCATTCAAATATCCAGACCCAGGAAATACAAAAAACCCGTAATAGAATCAACCCAAGAAGATCTTCCCCAAGGCACATCATAGCTAGATTGGCCAAAACCACAGAAAAAGACAAGATAGTAAAAGTGGCAAGAGAAACATCAGGTTACTTATAAAGGCTATCCCATCAGGCTAACATCAGACCTCTCATCAGAAACAATGCGAGCAAGGAAAGAATGGGAAAAGATATTCAAAGTGTTAAGTGAAAAACAGTTTCAACCAAGGATACTGTACCTGGCAAGATTATCCTTCTTCATATGGGAAGAAAAGATAAAAACATTAGGGACCAGCAGGTGGCATGGTGGCCAAGGGCACTGAACTCCCACATGGCTGACCATAGTTCGAGTCCTAGACCTGGCGGCTTGCTTTTTCACTTTCCCTCTCTCTCTCTCTCTCTGGTCTAATTGGAATGGATGAATAAATAAATAAAGTTAAATAAAAAACAATTATTTAAGAAAGAAGATAAAAAACATTCTCAGGTAAATAAATCTTGAATTTACCAATGCCAGACCAGCTCTTCAAGACTTTCTGAAAGGAGTGCTCTACCAGAAAAACTAAAGACACACATACAGAAATAAAAGAACAAAAAGCAACCAAGAAAATGACCGACTTAATGCCAGGGACAAGAAATATCAATAATAATATTGAATGTTAACTTCCAGGATTTAAACGGAAAGATCAGACCACAGTAACACTGCAAGTTCAACAGGAGAAAGATTGATTACATGAGACTGAACTGGTGACATAGAATTTTATGACTTCTGAGTAAAACATTACTTTTTGTATACTATGCTTTGTTTTCCAAATTTAAAGATTTTGCTTTCTTTTGAGCTGTTGATAGATTTAGCAATTTGTTAAAATGTTTTTTTTCTTGTTTCTTTAAAAGGAAACATAAATTTTTCTCCCTTCCTGACCTATCTGAAATTGGAAAATATTTGGGAGAATTCTTATTTTGTGGCAGAATGATCATTTGCATAAATTCAATAATAACCTGTTGCCTTGCATCAGAAATTGGAAATACTCGTTACTGGACAGGGCTTTGACTGGAATGTCGTATCTGAAGATTACACCAAAAAACTATGGAACTAAGGTGGATCCCAAGTAAGCCAGCAGAAGCTCTTGGAAAGATGGCCTGGCATCATAAACAGCTCTGCCTAGCAGAGAGGATTAGAGCAGCCATATGAAAGAATTCATACCATAAAATAACCTGGACTTTTCCAGTCCAACATTGTAATTAGTAGAGATTGTAAAAGAGCAGCCACAACCAGAGGATTATTTTGAGGAAGACTTTGAAGGAAGAAAAAGAGACTGATCTTTGCTAGCGGACAGTTTATCACAGAATATTTGGTAAGCAGGGCTGAATTGAGAAGGTTTATGTATGTGTGAATTGTGTGCTGGGTGTTTGCTTTTCCACAGTTTGAGTAGTTGACATGTAAATACTTTCTCAAAAATATTTTAAACCAGAATGTCTCTGTTGTTATATAGTCACAAACAAAATTATAACACATATTTCGAACATTGTCTTTAAAATCCATTTTTTTTTTATATTTTGGAAGTTATTAACTGTCAAGAACTATAGAGTTTGGGCAAAATTTTTTGATATGTAAAGTAAATATTTGTGGGAAGATGTAAAAATAAATAAATAAATGATTAGGAGGGGGGAAAAAGGCCAAATCTAAAAGTAGTAGCAAGAGCAAAGAAAAATCAAAGAGTGAGGAAAGAGATTCAAAATGTAATAGACAGGGACCAGCAGTTAGCGTAATGGCTATGTTGCTGGACTCCCACGTAGTTGACCGCGGTTCACGTCCTGGACCCGGTGGCTTAAAACTCACACCGGGCGCGTGTGCGTGCGTGCCCAAGATCCTGAGAGGATAATGGAGGAGAAGGGATTGCAGAGTGGCCATCCCCCCTAGGGGTTGATTTCTTGCTTTCTATCTCTCTGTCTCTTTCTGTCTATCTGGCGAGCGCACGCGCCCTATAGCAAAAACCTCTGAAAAAAGGAAAAAAAGTAATAGGAAGAAAAGAGGGCAAAGTCGAGAAGTAAAGAAAGGGATCGCGATATGAAAGAAAAAGAAAAGCGGTCCATTTCTAAAGGAAAAGGTCAGGAAAGGAGCAGAAGTAAAGAGGAGTCCAGACAGAATCAAAAAGTAAGGAGCACGACCGTAATAAGTAGGGAAAAGGACAGATGCGCACAGCCCAGGGGCAGAGACCATGATGGCACTGGAGGTAAGCACGTTTACGACAGAATCCCAGCCTGTTTCCTGGCTTTACATCTTAAGCAAAGTTTTCTTTTTTTCTTTTAAAATTTTATTTATTCATTCATTTATTTTAACTTGCCCAGAGAGAGACAGAGAAAGAGAGAAAGTGAGAAAGCAAGCCACCAGGTCCAGGACTTGAACTGTAGCTGGCCATGTGGGAGTGTCCAACACCTTAACCACCATGCCACCTGCTGGTCCCCAAGCAAAGTTCTCTTAACATGTTTGATTTTGATGTATTAAAGCTGAAACTCCCTTTCTTGAAATTAAAAAAATGTATTTACAGAAATACCTATTTAATGGCCACAGTAAGCTATATCGCCTCAGCTAGGTGCTATTTTATAGTATATTCATTCTACTCACAGAGTTTCATGCCCAAAGTCAACATGTGTTCACAGATATGTATATACCAGCCAAACTTGCTATTGAAAGTATATAGATTAAGATATTTTGTGAATCAATGAAATGTGGGAAAAAATAAAAAAGGAATGGAAAGCAACTGCAGATACCAGAGACAGTGTGGGAAGAGGGTGGGAAATGGCAGAGAGTGAGAAATGGAGAGGAAATAAATACATATACATATATATAAAACAAGAAATGGAAAATTACTTGTTGACAATAACATGTATGATTAAGCCACTTTACAGTGTATTCTGGATGGGAAATTGCTTTTTGTATGCTGCGATGATGTTCAAAGAATGTAAAATTAATTAATTAATTAATTAAAAAAACAAAAACAGTAGAACAAGGGAACGAAGCACAAGTAGGGACAAGAGCAGAATAGTGAGATATCGAAGCCATGACAGAGATTGTAGCAGAAGCAAGGAATACCATAGATACAGAGAACAGGAGAAGAGAAACACCTAGAAGATCGAGAAGTAAAGACAGGAGGAGAAGAGATTCACAGAGCTCAGAGAAACAAAGGTGAAGCAGAAACAAAGGAAAATATGGAAACCAAGAGTTCACATAGAAAAGAAAATTCCAGGAACCAACAGGGTGGCTTGGTGGTTAAAGTGCTGTGCACTCCCACGTGGTCGACCACAGTGCCAGTCCTGGACCTGGTGGCTTACTTTCTCACTCCCCTTCCCTCCCCCCCCGCCCCCCGTCTCTCTCTGGTCAAGATAAAATAAATGAATGAATAAAATTAAAAATAAAAATAATTCTTTCAAAAGAAAATTCCAAAGGTGAGAGAAGAATGTACTCTAAAACTTGTGATCATAATAGCTCAAGTAACAGAAATGACCGATAGAATAGAGGTCAAAGTCCATTCTCAAACATGAAACAAAGCAGTCAGGAAAATGAGTTAAAATCCTCTACATTGAAAAATAAGGAGGAAAAGAAGACTAGATCCTCATTTAAAAAAGAAAACCAAAAATCAAATGGTCAAGCAAATGACCATGTGTATGAAAAAAATTTAAAAAATATGATCATGAATCAAGCCCTGGTACAGATGAAAACAAAATTGAATGAGGGATTTGTGTAAACTTCATATTTGCATCTATCTCAGTTTTTAAGTTTTAGAGACTTGCCAATGAATCTTCTTTATGTTGTTTTCTTTTTTTTGTTTTGTTTTTTGTTTTCTTTTTTTTGGTAAATGTGGACTTCATTGAGTTGATCTTTTGATAATCTGCAACCCTGGATTATTTATACTGCTAAAGTTTTAATAAACTTGAAATGAGAAAAAAAAAAAAAGGTCTTACAGAAAGTTCTTATTTCAGATATCTAGCCAAGCTACAGACAACACATTTTCTTGACATGGTTTTATTTTAATAAAAAATACAGCTGAACATTTATCACAGATTACATGAAACTATATGCAATGACATTCTCTCTGCATAGTAACCAACACTGATGTGTGTACTTGAATTTTTAAATGGATTACTTATAATCCTTTAAAGTGCAATTTAATATTTAAAGGTTTAAGTAAATCATAGGATAAAGGATCTAATAAATGAGTAATATTTAAAAAGATAATACATTTGGATAAATCTTTAAAAAATCAGAATCTATTTCTATAGATGTCAAATTTAACTTGCCGTAGTAATGACCCCCTCCCCCAACCCCCAAACTTGACTTAATTGCTGAGGATTAAGAAGATCCTCTAACTGGCGAGAGCTTTTTCTGAATTGACATTTTTGTCTGTTTCAATACATCCTAACTAGAAAGGACTATGAGTCTAGAGCAGTTGCGTTGCCAGCGTTGAGTTCTATGACAATCGTATTCCCAGGAGAACTTGAAGGACTTCCCCCTCTGTGGGAGGAAATGAACTCAGCCGCTTCTCTGACTCAGCCACAGAACCACGCCTGGGCTGCAGTGCTAACATCTCAGATGAAAGAGGGTACAAAATGGGCGTAATCTTCTAAGAAATAACCGGAAAATGAACGAGGAGAGGAACATTTCCAGGAGCTGTCTGGAGGGGCGGGAGGGACTGCAACACAAAAGCCATTCGCTGCTGAGACTGAGTGTCGTCATGGCGTTGTTCTGTCCCTTTCCTTTAGTTGGTGAAGATATTGATTTCCACCCCGCTGCTGCCCAGAAAGATGCCCACTAGCCGATGGACAAGACTCCTTACAGTGGAAGTAAAGGAGCACAGGATTTCTTAAGGCAGGAGCAGCAGCCCCCCTCCGTCCCCTCCAGACTGTTTCCCTCTAGAAAAGCCTCTTACCGGAGCATCTGCAGGAGCTAGTGTGCGGCTGTACTGGCTCAGCCACCCCTCATCCCGGAAGAGGGTACGTTGGGGGTGGGAGGGAAAAATGAAAAGAACTTTTCCCTCCGAGTGTAAACAGGAAGCTTCAGCCGATCTTAGGAGCACTGTGGTCACAGGTTTCGGCTTTCCTCAAAGTTCCTTTCTGGAAATTCTGGATGGAGCTGAGCAAGGCCCCTCGGCTCACACCATTCACAGCCTGGAGTGAGGGCTGTGTGGGCGCCTCGGTGCTGGCAGGAGGCAAGGGGGCTGCTGGTGGTGGAGGCGGAGGTGGAGGCGGAGGTAATGCAGATATCCCTGCGGCCGGAAAGGAAAAAGGACAGTCAGTATTCACCTCTCCAACAGCAGCACACACGCTACTGGTCAGCCGGGCAGGAGGGCTGGGTGGGGAGGGTACCGTGCTACACAGTACGGTATGATATTTTAAATACTAGACAAAAGGTCTAGACACCTCAAAGGGGAATTAAAGACTGACAGGAGACTGTTGGGACAGGCGGCACAGACGTGACATCATTCACAAGGACATCCTCTCTGCACAGAGGCTCTGACACCACTTCAAATTTTAGTAATGATCCCACAAGAATTCCATCAGCTCCTTAGCCAGGGCCCAGGCCGCTCTACCTACTTCTGAGCTGGGCAACCTGCATGTGAAGTACACGGGAGAGGGACAATTCTTTAGCTGCTCCAACACCAATGATATTTGAAGAATGTGATTTTTTAAAAATTATTTATTTAATTTTATTCATTCACTTATGTTAATTTGACCAGAGAGAGACACAGAGAGAGAGAGAGAGTTGAATTGAGAAAGCAAGCCACCAGGTCCGGGACTCGAACCATGGTCGACTATGTGGGAGTATCCAGCATCTTAACCACCACGCCACCTGCTGATCCCCAAGAATGTGATTTAATATGAAAGGACAAACCACTTGGGATTCTCAGCAAGGAACCAGCGCTGCTGGGTTACGCATTCCCCAGGGAAGCTTGTCTCCAATAATCATGTCCTACTAAGTTATGCCAAATAGTAAATGCTAACAAATGCTAGCAACCAAACAAGGCAGGGAGCAGAGGGGTCTCTCTCCCTGGCAGTGGTATTTCTATTGAAGTCTGAAGGACTGTTCTTTCCAATGTGGCTCAGCTGAGGAACACAGCAGAATGACAGTAAAGATACACCTGTAAAATCAGGAGAGACTGGAATACCAACCTCTGACCTCACAGGCAAGGAGAGAGAAGCTGAACAGGTATCTAAAATTTCCCTCAGGTTCCAGGCACATGAACATTTGCAACTTGAATTTTGTATTTATGAATTAATTAATTAATTAATTAATTGTTCTCTCGAGACAAAATAAAGTACAGAGAATTTTCACTTCAAGAGCTTTCCTGTGCCACGGAGTTAGTCACTCCATGCTGTGGTTTGAATGCATACCCCTAAATTTGTGTGTTGAATTTTGGTTGCTATTGTGACAGTATTAAGAGGGTGGAAACCTGATCTGACTAAGGTAATAAGAGGTGGAGCTTTTAGGAAATAATTTACTTAGATAAGGTCATCAGGGTGAGCCCCCATGACTAAATACTGGTGGCTTCATAAGAAGAGGAAAAGAGACCACAGCCAACACAGGCTCTTGCCCTCTCAGCATGGGATGTCCTGTGCCCAACTGTCTATAGGAATCCCTCCTAGCAAGGAGGCCTTCACAGATGCAGTCTCCCCAAGGCTCCACCTTAGACCTCTATGGTCATGAGCTAAATAACATCTCCGATCTTCACAAATTACCCAGTCTGTGGAATTCTGTTACAGCAACAGGAAAACATGAAAACAGCCCATCTCCTGTGGGTTCCAACTCTCCACCTGCCAGACTCCACCTGTCTGTGGCTGTCTCTACCCCCTCCTTGGGCTATACCAAGGAGACGTTCTGCTAAGTGGCTCCTCCCAAACTGCTGCTGCTGTGGTGACAACAGGTAAAGATAACTATCACCACCTGCGTTTGTATGTGGTGATCACTAATACTCAGGTAAGTACCTCCTCTTCCCCACATACTACAGGCAGCGGTTAAAGTCATACAACTCATAGAAAACTTACCTTCCTTTATATCTGTTAACGATACTAAAGCGGCTGAAAATTAAAATCACACAAATACACACACTCATGCTTGGCAATCACAGAGTTCTCAAACAATGATAATAAACATCAAATAAAGACAAATGAACAAAATGTAACTTTCATTGGTTCTACACAATAACAATGAATGAATGAAGTTCTATTATGTATCTATGCCAGGGTGGACTGTGAGAAAATACATGTTCCTGGCTTTATGTCAGAAGGTTATAAAGATAAAAAGGATTAACCCTGAAGTGACTGTTGAGGTAAGAAAAATAAAGAACGTGTATGACATAAACACTCCCCAGAAGAGGACTTGCAGACCCTGACTAGTGAAATAGCTGCTGAAGCTCTGGGAACTCAATGTCTCCTGACTGCAGCACCAAGAGGGCCCAGTGGAGTGAGCTCTGTCTACTAGGGGGTGAGTGGATGCCAATGCCCTCCCTCAGGCACTCCTATGATATGGCCAAAAGAAGGTGCTGCTGCCTTCCAGACTTGACATTGAAGGCCCAATCTGCACCAGAAGGAGCTCTGCCTCTTGGCTTTGTGCTCTGACTCCTGGTAGACCCCAAGGTAAGGATGAGAAGAAAGGCCTGGGTTATAGCAGCACTTGGTGTGTGCGTGGTGGGGAGGGTCTACTAAAGCCACAGAACTGGTACCCCTCCTGCCCAGGGCAAGGAAGGTTCAATCCCAGCCTGCCAGCTCAGAATGCTCTGGAAGGGGGGAGGATATCCAGGAGCCAAGTCCCACTGACTGTCCTTGGCCTCTGCTTTCGGCCTCTTCCATGGTCCGTGAGTTTCCTTTAAAGGTCCACTAGAGTTTCTGATACCCAACACCGGTGCCAATGGTGGTGGTGACATGAAGGCCCAATGAAAGTTGGCTATTGCTACAGCCTGAGATAAACCTGGGACAAGTGCCTAATGCCTGAACCCACTCCCCTCCTAAGTGTGAGCGAGCTCCTCCTCCCAACAGTCCTTACCCCCAGGCTCCAGCCTGGAGCTGGGAGTAGCCTGACTGCAGGTCGACTTCACACCCATCATGGAGAGTGTTCTAGAACACTCAAACGAAGTCAATTCTGATCTCTCCCATTTCACTTCTCTTAGACAAAAACCCAAGGGCCCACTACTCTACCCTCTCCAAATTCACCTCCAGCAAACCAAATGGGACCTGGCAGTCCAGTGAAGGCCCTGGAAGAGGTGCAGACTGCTGCGGTGGGAGCATGGGAGGGTCTGGGGAGGACGGCATGCCAGAAACATCCATGGCAGTCTCGTGGCAAGGATGGCCGAGGAGGGACCCTTGGAATTGCCCAGGATGGTTCTAGCAGGGGGCAATCTACGGATCTCAGTAGCTCTGAGTCCCTCTGTGGTCCATACTCACAGGTGGGGAGGAACAGCCACCACACCTCACTAGAGCAGCACAAGCTACCAGCTACCCTTGGGACAGAATGGAGAGCCAGGATCCCTGGGAGCAAGTGGTCCCCAGCCCAGGCAGATAAAGAGGCCATACTCAGCACCCAACTCGAGAATTCTTAAGGAGGCCTAAAAAGAACTATTTTCTCCACCATCAGTTCCAGAAGGCAATAAGATGATTCTCTGAACCAAAAACTCAATCCCCTAACACCCTTTCCCCTTCACCAGGTACCAAGGAGCCAACACTTGGCAGCAATGGGACTTCGAGAGTCATGGTTCCCCAAATTAAATCAGACCAAAATGCCATGCAGTAGATTTGCAGGTTTCAGAGCTGTATTTTAAAACAAAATTCAGAGGGGGAAAAAAAAAATGAAGATTTTGAAGATCAGGATGAAAATGAAATGAATACAGATGAAGTCACTTGGAAGCTTTTTAAAGATGCTGTGTTTCATGGAATGTCCAGATAAGGAAACGGTCTCCACTCGGCTCTCCCACTCGCTCCTCAGGCCAGTGATCTAGACACTTTGGGCCCTAGCTGACACCCCAAAACAGAGCATCTTTAAAGTTAGTGAAATCAGCATAGCTTACTTTACCGAAAATTCACGTTCAAAAGGGTGCATGCTCTACTGAAAACGGCAGAGAAAGAGAGAGAGAAAGAGAGGACACAAGTCATTATTCAGGTTGGAGTGTCATTTAACCAAACAGAAACAGACAATAACGTATTAGTCGGAATCGCGGGCCAATCCTCACTGAGGAACTAGGACACACTGGGAGTGACCGCGCGGGCTCGTAAACAGACTGTCTCTGTCAGGACTTGGCTACCATCTGAGACGTAACCAGGGAGTGCTCTCCCTTCACAGTCTGTTTCGTTTCTTCCCCTGAGCCAGGTAGGTGCTCTGCTCATTGAACACAAGCACAGCACTCACTAGGGAAGAGCCTCGAAGGCTGTCCCTCCCCTGGGGCGCAGAAATGGATGCAAAGGTTCCATTACTAAACAAGGACAGTTTATCCCCAGAGAAGGAGGAGGAAAATGCACGGATTTCCCAGCAAGTCTACGTCTAAACTGGAGACCTGACTTATTAAAAGTTGGCAAGAGTGAGCCGCAGGGCAGGTCTAAGCTCCCGGGCAGGGCAGGGCAGGGGGGCTCCCAGGCACTAGCAGTGCCCCCGCCCGAGGCAGCTGTGCCCCATAGGCTAAGGCAGCAGGAAAGCTTCGGTAAGGCCATCAAGCCATCTGAAAGGCTGTGCAGTCTAGGCCCACTTAAACCCCTCAGCTCTCTCCTTAAACTGACTAGACTGCAGCCTAGGCCTGAAGGACAGCGGACCCCAGGGTTCCCAATGAACCAACTCTGCTCCACAGGGAGGGGCCAGGAAGCGAGGCCCTGGGTCGGGTGGGCTGGGCTGGGCTGGGGTAGCGCAGGCTGACCCCCTCACATCCGGGGCAGCTGTGGAAGGAAGGTGCTGGAAACACCTGCAGCTCCCACTCTCTGCATCCAGGGGGCTCTGGGGAGGGGTTAACACACTAGGAAGCCAGGGAGGTGGCTGGCAGGAGAGGCCACCACAGGACAGCCCTGCTCATCCCAAAGGCGGCCACTGCTTTGCAGATGTGTAGCTTTTGAGAAAGAGAGGTGATTCTTATGGTTGGAGGCATCACTTTGGAGTCTAGAATGGGTTTCAGACGTGGACTTGGTTAAGCAAGTTCTAGAAGCTCCGATGTCTAAAATAAACTCTTTTTTTGTCTGCGTGTGTACGCCTTAGTAAGCCTTTTTAATTTTTCCTTATTAGTTCTTCATCCTCCTTCCTGTTATTAAGCTTTTAGTCTCTGTACCCAGAAGGTTCTTGTTTCCCCTTTCCCAGCTTTCCAGGTTCAAAACTTCCATTTCTCTCCTCATTCTTCCAGATGCTTTTTCTACAAACTGCCAGCTCTCTCTCCTCACAATTACTGTTTAAGTCATAAACCGCAAGCAGGACTAGGATTCTCTGACTGCAGGGCACCCATAGCTGGAGCGTGCTAGCACTTCACGGCTTATACAGCCTTGCCCCGTACACTGGTTCTTCACACCAGTCTCAGTGTGTAACCGCACGGGCCAACAGTGCTCCCTGGAGAAAGCAGGCGGGTCAATGAACAGAGGCAGACCAAGTTCAATGCCTGGCTCCTGCACCCTGCTGCTGTGTGACCTTGGTCAAGTCTGCTTCACCCTACTGGAGCCTCAGTTTTTTTCATCTGTAAAAGGCGCTGTACTAGAATCCATTCGTTGGGTAGGAAAATTTGCAAGGATTAAATGAAACAATGACTATAAATCACTTAGAATAGCCCCCGGCACAAAATGAGGGCTCAGAATTTACTTGATATAATTATTAAAAACAATCTGAGGTCTTCTGCTTACTTAGCTTTTCCAAAATACTCTTTTGCAAAGCTCCCAAAAAAGGGTGGGAAGGAATAGTGATGTGTGTGCAATCTGGGGCCACTTAAACCCCTCAACTCTCTGAAGACGGAGTATGAGCACCAGCTGATGGCAGCTACCATGCAATTAGGATAAAGAACGGCTTAGTCAGGACAGTGGAAGAAGCACTGACCTTCCCAAGGCAGGAAAAATAACCTTTAGCAGAAAGTAAAGTTCTCATTGAAAAAACACGGGTGTTGCAAGAATTTTAGGAACTCCCACCCTGTGGAATCACCGGCAGACTCGGTAATTGATATTTCTCTCATGGATTTGGTAAAGACTTCAAGCCAAGGCTCCCAAGGGAGGGAGGAGGGAGCTGCAGTAAGGAAAGGGAGGGGCTGGGAAGAGCTCCACGGCTCCCTTCACTTAGAAACATCTGCACTTCTGGCCCATCTTGAAGGTAACTGAGATTCAGTTACCTTTAGCTACCAGAAATGTGCTTAAAACTGATGCTTTCAGCAAGAAAGGCGCTGTGGCCAGCTCGGCTTGCCTAAGTTGATCCCCTGCTGTCAACCTGCTGCTGAGCAAACTGACAAGGGCAGAGTCCGCTGTGGGTTTAGGGTGTGCTTGACAAGAAGGAACTAGTGGTCCCCTCTAACTTCCGCCTTCTGCTCTTTACAGAGGAGGCAACCCAAACCCGGACGTGCACAGTGTCTCATTTATGGCTCGGTGACTGTGTTCTGAGAGCTCACTAAGCGCCGGGCAGGCGCTGTTCTAGGCCTCTCCACGTGGAGCTCACAGCACCCTCACGATAACAAAGCAGGGGCCATTGTTATCCTCACTCACAAATGGGGAGCTGAGCACACGGGAGGTCAGTGCCTGCCCAAGGTCCTAGAACCAGCAAGTGGTGGCCTTCACGCTCAGATTCCCAGACCCCCAGAGCAGTTTTCAAGGGTTTCCAGATTGAGTTCCATGGGAGAGGTTACCTTTTGGAGAAGCTGTATTTTTTTTTTTTTTAAATACTAGCCCTTGAAAAGAAAGAATGTTCTTTCATTGCTGGAAAGTGACACTTCATCATAAAGTTGGAAGATACCATCCTCGGCTTTGTTCCAGATAAGCATGGTTTTTAAAACCATGAACTCGGCCACAGCATAAAGATGTAAATTGCTGTTAATATGACTGCGGCAGCAAGATGGCAGTGTGGAGTGGCAGCAGGGAAGATACAGGAAGCTGGGCCTCCTGTTCTGCAAGGAGGAACGATCCCAGCTGGGACTGGACAGCCAAAGCTGCCGTCCCAGGCCGAGTCCTGCCCTCAGACCTGGCCTCAGCAGAGGCCATGAAGGCGGAGCAAGCCCATGCGACCAGCCACAAGGATTTCCCGAGCGTCTCCAGGGGCCTGGGATCAAGAGGCATCAACAGCTTCGCCCGCTTGGAGCTCCCTGAAACCCCACGATATGCAACTTGTCGATAGTCTGGTCTGCCAGGTGATGATTCTTTATTTAAAGGGATCTGTTGGGAGGAAAAATAACTACCACGGCTGGGCCCCAGGGAGAGTAGTATTTGCCTAAATTCTGTCTGTCGTCCTGGAACTCCTGAGAGGCACTAGTAACACGTCTCCATGAGAGCTAGGGCCCTGTAACCAAGGTCAGCCACAGTCCCTGGCACGGTGGTTTCTCAACAAACACGTTTTAAAATACACCCTGGATGGGATACTCTTGTGGCTGCCCTGTGCACGGTCTGAAATGCTAAGTTACCAAGCAAATGCTAGATACTATTTTTATTATGCATTTCAAGAAATGCCCAGCAGAGGCTTTGAGGCTGAGTCAACAGTTTCATCAACAAAACATTAAAGGAGATAAAGAGGGAGTCAGTGTTTGCCAGGAACCTCTTATCCTTGTCAGGCGTGGTGCTTGGGCTTCATGTGTGTTTTCCTGCTAAATCCTCGGGACTCCCTTTCAAGTAGGGACTATTGAATCCGCAACAATGCCCCTACCACTCCATTCACTTCAGACAGCTTTTCCTAACACTGACTCCAATTACAAAAGATCTCTCTCCTCTTAGCATTCTAACAGTTTCCTCAAGCACTCTTGCTACCGTATGCTGTGGCCCTTGTTTGAAGTGCGGCTAAGTTAGAGAAGTCTCCCTGAAAGTCCAGATCCACTGTAAATGTCCAAGGCATTTAGAGACAACCGGCAGCTAACTGCCCCAGCGCATTCCCACCGCACACAGCAATGTTCTCTACGCTGGGCTCACTTCTGAAAGGAAGGTTTAGGATTCTTCCTATCCATTTTCTCCAGTTTTCTTCATAGGGCCAGTGGTATGAAACAAATACTCTATTTTCTAGAACATGGGCAGTGGATCTCCAGAAATTTCTCATCAGCCTAAACAGGTCACCTCTACAAAAGACAGAAGGCCTGTTTTCTATCTTGATCAATGTTTGGGGTTTTTCTTGTAAATTCTGCTGATGAAGTCAGACAGGGACAAGAATATTGTCCCCAGGAGCCAGGCACTTTGCTATCAAAACAGAGCCTGGCCCCAGAACATCTGCAGTAAGCCACCAGTAGCCACCACCCTTAGCCAGCAAGGAGATGCCTGCCAGCCGGCAACAGGCTGTTCAAACTAGCCCCGTTGCATCTGCAGGTGTTTTCCTGGGAGGGTCAGTTAGAAGCGTCCGAGGACAGCTGGGTAACGCTCTTGATAGCGCCTGGGCACCGCCTTTAGCACTAGTGAATATGGTATCGTCAGCTCTTCCATCAACTTCTGCCAATGGCCCTCTCTTCCCACAGCTGCAGAGACCCCTCGGAGCACAGCCTACAGGCTAAGTGGCAGAACCAGCTCCTCCGACATCTAGGACATCTGGCCCAGTTAAGTAAAAGGAGATTCCGGTGCCCCAGGAGTTTTTGCTAGGCTTTCTGAAATAGTTAGGAGAGAGACCTTAGTTCACAAAGGAAAGAAGGAAAGCTAGTATTATGAGACTACTCCACAAAGATGAGGGATTATTTTCATAAGCAGTCCTCCAGATGGCAGAGAAATATTCAGATAATTAACGCAGTGCAGGGCAGGACAGAGAGAGTGATCAGGAAATCAGAGAGTCCGTGCTCCACTCCCTCACGAGGCATCTCGCCAGCTCTGCCTAGTGACAGGACTGGCACCACAGATGGGCTCCCTGTGGAGAGAGCTCTGGTGGGACAGGGCCCTGGGTGGCAGCACGGGGCATGTGCCAAGACGAGCTCTGACCACAGGAGCTCTACGGCAGGTCTTCGGCAAAGAGGGCAAGCGAGAGGCCGGCTAGTGGGCCTGACGCCGGCCCATTCCTGGGAACCCTGAGCTCAGAACCCTCTGCTCTCCCCAGTGGCGCTGCTGATTTCTACTGGCCTCTCCTGACAGGGCTGGAGCTAGCCCGCCCTGAGACGAGACGCTCAGGCCAAGCCAGGGAGAGAAGGCACTCTCTCCTCCCATCGGCGGGGCGGAGAAAGCCACGTCACTTTACCCCAGGACTAACCTGCTGTAGAGGGTGGAGTCGGCGACGATGGAGACGTGAGAGGTGAGCTGGCCCCAGACCCTGCTAAGATAAAACACAGAGGAAAGCTCGTGAGGACCAGTCAGACATCTGTAGTGTGTCCTAAGCTGGAGCCACTGTGGTCTGAGAATGTGCACTCAGCTTGGGGTGTGAGGGGATGAGGGTCAGGAGACTCAGAAACCGGACCCTGTGATGGTAGCTCTTACCTATCTGCTTCCTCCCCAGGCTGCTAAGGGCTCGCGGCTCTGTGCTCCCCTCGGCCTGCCTGGTTTGATCCAACTTCATCATCAGAGGCTTACGTAATTCGCCTGACCCTCGTTCCTTGGCAAATGTCAAAGGCAGTGGCCACGGTGGTACAGGGGATGGAGGTGCAGAGCAGCCCCGTGGGGGCCACGCCCAGGACCCAAGAGCTCCTGCCCAGCCGGGCTCTCTGTGGAAGGCCCACTTTATCAGTAGGTCTGTCTAACTAGACAGGGTCAGCCTGCTCCATCTGTGGATTTCCCAGGCCTTGTATTTTTATCTGAAATTCAGTAAATACCCTGACTTACATGGAGACAACAGACACAATTCCACATACTGCATGCATTTTCTAGACCCAGTGTTCAGACAGTCCCAAGCTCTATCTCCCCAGTGCTTGGAGAACCTTAAGAACACCCTCCTGGCCTGAGACGGAAGGAGTCCTGGAGTGGCTGGAGGTTCCCGCGTAGCTTCTTCGGGGAGATATAAGCTCCCTCTCACACACAGAGCTCCTTAACCAAAACCCCCTAATTGATGCTGCCTGGGCTGACGGGCACATACGCCCAAAGGGAGGCGGTCAGCACGGGCCCCTGAGAAGCCGCCACTTCACTCACTACCCACAGGACATGGGATGACTGTGGACACCAGGCATGATGAAAAATGTCCTCCGTAAACCACACCTCTCTCCAGTTTAATACTGTCCCACTATTTGCAATTACCCTCAGCTCCGATAAAACATGAGAGGTGAGGAACCAGCAGTTGGCGTAATGGCTATGTTACTGGACTCCAATGTAGTAGACTGCGGTTCAAGTCCTGGACTGGGTGGTATAAACTTATGCCAGGCACGTGTGCCTGTGTGCCCAAGATCCCAAGAGGAGAATAGAGAAGGGATCGCGGCGTGGCCATCCCCTCTGGAGGGTGATTTCTCACTTTCTGCCTCTCTCTCTCTCTCTCTCTGTATTTCTGGCGAGCTCACGTGCCCTATAGCAAAAACCTCTCCAAAAAGACAGAGGTATTTTACTGAGAAAGACAGTGAGACTCAGCGTGTGCCGTCCCAGACTGCTTGCATTTAGTCGGGGACGGGGCTGAGCCTGTGGTCCGTCTAGCAGGGTCTGGAGTGATCTACACTTTCCCTCCAAGCACTGTTACTCCTCTCCTAAAGGCCTCGTGGGGATTGGGTGTGCCAGGCTCCGTAGAGTCCCATCGGGCTGTTGTGGCCCAGAGCCGTGCCCGATGAAGGGGGTCGTGCCCGATGAAGCGTGACGGTGCAGAGTCAGGCTTTCTCTGCTTCATAAAGAATCGGCAACTGGACAGCACGACCGCCTGCCAGACTTGGTGGAGACACGAGTCTCGGCCTCACGGTGACAGTGACTAGTCTGCGTCTACCCCTGGGGCTCTCCCTTGGCACTCACTGGGACCTCCTGGTCTGGGGCCTATGGCTGCCTTCTCCCTGAGGCTCTCCCCGAGCCCTTCTCCAGCCTGGACCCTCCAGCCGTCCACACGACTGTCACCCTCCTTCTGGAGCCTGTGGCCTTTCTCCAGTCTGGCCCTTCCAACCTCCAGCCCACCCGGCAGCTACAGCCTCCAGGCATGGCTAGTCCAGCCCAGGGGCTGCTGTCCACACCTCTCTTGGTCTCTCCTCCCACTCCAGGCGACATCCTCCTTCCCGACTTCACTGAGAAGGTGAGGCATCCCGTACACTTTTAAACCTCTCTGCCCCTTCACCGGCCTCTCCTGCCTCCAGGGAGACATGGCTGGGCTCCCTCCCCAGCTGAGACCACTCCTGGGCTCTCTGTGCTAACCTTGCTGGACTGCTAGTCCCTCGGTACTCTCCCTGTGGCATCTCTAGCTTCTCTCTCTCCTGCTTAAAAATATCACCAACTATCCTTCAACCTCACCCCAAAAATGTCCCCTTCCTATAGCCTTCCATGGCTGAGAAAGAAGCTGCTGGGTTAAGGTGAAGCCATCCCTTCCCCATGTGAAACTCAGGTTCATAAACTAGCAGCACTGGAAGCCCCCAGGGGTCATTTGATCTGGCCTTGGTTTCCAAAGATGGGGGCATTAAGGCCCACCGCTAGCAGGACTAGGCAAGGGGCATCTGGGAGTGACAGTGAGGACTGCTGAGTGACAGTGAGGACTGCCAACTCAGGGCGGTGCTCTCTGTGAGAGCCCGGCCTTCCTGCAATGGGGCTTCTAGCCATCCCCACCTACTGTCAGGTCCTTTCCTTAACCATGGAGGAGGGCACACCTCCCACCACACGGGGTCCAGGGCAGAGGGCATTCC